AAATATTATTTCATGCCTCATAAATTTTTTTAAACCATTTTATAATGATATTATTTTATACCTTAAGCCCCTTAAGCTGTTTATTTGTTAATTGGTTTTTTTATTGTTTTGTAAACCTTTTTTGCTTTAATTTTTTCATTATTATTTTACTACGCTAAACACAACTAAGTATTTGATTTCATATTCGAGTAAAGCAACGTACAAAGCTTGTTTTAGACATGGCGCTTATGCAACGTCAAAACTATTGCTCACAGCAGCATATGTGATAACATGGCGCAGTAAATGGTAGAACAAATATGATATACTTTTCGTTATGTTCATCTATCAATGTGAGAGATTTTTGTATAAACTTATTTGAATTGATATTATTTATTATAACCATTTGCTTTTGTTGTTGTCACAACTGTTACTATTATTATTTTTATTATTGTTGTTGTTGTTGTTGTTGCAAACAGAAATATTAACTATAAAATGAAATATGCATAAAATGGAAAATTTTGTAAAATAACAAGCCACGAGTGAACGTAACTTGACAGCGTATAAAGCGAGAATAGTTTTTGAGTATTATTTACGTACATACATATATGCTCATACATACGTACAATACATAGCACATATGCATGCCACTATGCGTGTGTCTCATATAACGGAAATCATCTTCAATAACCGCACACTAAATCAAAATTATTAATTTTTTGAGTTTGAGCGACTGCGGAAATTACACCCAAACACCCAAACACACACACACACATTCACACACGATCGCATGTATTTGTGTTGCCATTCAAATGTTTATTGTCAAAAAAAGGTTTTTTTCTATTTTTCATTTCCAACTACGATATTAATTTCGCATGGAATTCATCTGTTCCTTTTCAAAGCTTACAGTCCATTCAGTCATAAATACATACATATATTTAAATTGTATATATGCAGTAAGTAATTTGCTCATGCATACAGTGAACGATTGACGCACGGAAGTTGAGTAGCAGTAATTATCCAAAAACAAGTTTCGAAATAAAACTTTTTTTCTTTTTTCGTGCAAAGCTAACCTAAATTCAAAATTACTTTTAATATTTTAGACTATAATAATTTGTTTCCACTTCTTTTAATTGAAAAATAAGCTATAACGGTATTTTTCCATTTGCTGATTTCCAAGAAAATCTAACAGCTTTATATAGGTACTGAAATGAAACTGAAAAAGTTTTGAATTAGATACGCTCTTGTGATGCCTGTCTGACGGCAGAGAGAAAGAAAGCTTAAGTAGAAACGGCTTTATATTGCTTTCAACTCTGTCTCTCTCATTCTCTCCCATGTAGTCTATATATCAATAGCATGTTATGCTGAATACAGCTTCAACGAAGGCGTCAGAAATCTTAGTTTCCACAATGTAACCAACTCAAACAAGCTACAGTTAATCGAGTTTGCCAAGTTGAACACAGATAGACGTGATATTAAAGCATCAATGCATCCTTCGAGATATTATTTCAAAAACCTTACAAAGGACTTGCCAGGAAGCCTACTGACTTGTGTAGTTCCGCTCTCTGGAAGACCTTGTGCCAAGAGTTCGTTTGTGATGAGTTGGTATTTCAAGATGCAAGATGATGGGAATCTGGTAAACAGCTGTGAAGCTATTATAACTTTCATTTCCTTAAACGTGCGCACGACGCGTATATCAATATTCGCTGAGACAGTCTAAGAAGTGCTTCCCGAGCTATTTGTGTCGCACAGTTGTCAAAGCTGAACAAAAATCAGGGCTGTGGCAAAAATTATTAGAGTGATAATTCATTATTTTCCCGTGGAGCCATATTAAACAGTGACCTCTTATTGTACCAACCCAGGAGGATGATTCTGCTCACGTTGCACGTGGTCTCATTCAACTATCTCGCTAATCGATTCTTCGCCAAAGGCTAGTTTGAGCATATACCTTGTCGTAGACAATGGTAAGCTTGCAGGGGGAGCCTGTATTGCATTTAGCCGAGATTTTGTTTGGATTGTTCCTACTTTCTGAGAAATGCATTAGTGCAAAGAGCTCTGGAAGAGGAGTGCCAGTAAAGATGCAGAGGACCGCAGAAATAACTGACTGTGATAAAGTTAGAAAAACAACTCTTTAACTAAAACTTAACAAATGTGGCATAGCCATTGACCTACTATATGAACTTTCTAAATGCGGCGCCCAGAAACTGGTAGAGTGCACGCATTAGCTATTGCGTATTTATAAGAAAGCAGAAAAGCAAGCTTAACGATTAAAAGCTGGCTCTTAGTCTGTCCAATACGAAAGGAAGTAGCTCATAGACGTAAAATAACCGAGTGTTTAAGTCTTTTCAGCAACCATGAAAGGTCTTAGCAGACAAACTACTTTAAAGACGCTCAGGGAAGTGGCATTCTTAACCTAAGCTTTCGTTTCTTTATTTTCAAATTTTCACCCGCTGATCTATGTCAAATAGAGATTTCAGAAAATGAAATCAAATCAATCGTATTTATTACACAAAACCAAATGTTCTTACGCTACGGCAGGGAGTTCAAATAATGACTCGTGTATGTGGTTTTGTATGTGTATATGTAAGTATGTATATATATATGTATTATAATGCACATTAACATGTTTACCAAAGTGTTCAGGTGACTATTGTTGTTGTGTAATACCAACACGAACTCAATCCGATCAAAGTTGTAAGTTGTGTGTCGACAATTTTCAATCAACACACACACACACACACACACAAACTCATACACAAATATGCGTGCAACTGTTGAGAGTATAGAAAATTACATGGAAGGAAATAATTTTCAATGTTTGAACACGCATACATACACGTGTATATGTGCATATATGCTGTATATGTATATAAATAAATGGAAACAAATAAATCAGTTTATAAATATGTTTGTGTGCGCGTGTGCTTGTGTATACATATGTATGTGCGTTTGCGGATTTGTGCAAATACCATAACAGCAGATTTGGTTGCATTTAAATCAAATTACAATGTTCGACTGCCATCTACTCAAGGCAGAAAGCATCAACAACAGCAATAACAACAACAACAACAACAACAACAACAACAACAACGAACACCATCATCTTATAGATGAAGTAGTAAACGAAATGGTAGCAGTAATGGTAGATACATAGATACTCTTAAAAAAGATACATCATATATGCTCACATATATACATAAATGCTCTGATGCGCTTGGTGTAGTGAAAATCCGCTTAGAAGCTGTCATGAGGCAACAACACAACCAAGCAGGCGGGCACTAATAATGTGTATTACAAGGAAGAAGAAGTAGAACAAGAAGGAGAAGAAATATCGAAAGCAACCACAAGATCACAATGTCTATAAATGCGGAGAAAAATGTCTTAAGTTCGTAGTAAATACACATTGACACACACACAAATTTGTAGCTATTCGCACACATACATACATATGTACATAACATAATTATTTCTACCTAAAAGCAGCTTGCCTGGGTTTGCGAACATTTAGGGCGTACGAAAAAAGAAATATAATGAGCAACAGCTACAAACGTATACATATTTATACAGTACACCTGCCATTCATTGAGATTGTGGGGAGAATCAGGTTAAGTGAGAGGTGGTGTGCATGTATGCATTTGCGTTCATTATCCAAAATGAATTTATGTATACTTCATTCCAAACTTTTATAGTACTAAAGCAGCATCTTCCGCGCTTTAACGGTAAGGCGAGCGTGAATCCACTTTCAGCTGAGGGGCAACCATATTTGAAAAAATATGTAACTTTCAATGATGATCTAAACTCCATTTAAGTGATCGCTGACCTCCAGCCAAGCCATTCACAGTTTGATAACACTTACCTCACCGAGAATGACGTTAAGAGGGAACTCTGTAGTATACTTTTTTTTTGCAGAGTGTCCACATAGTTTTGGCTGTGCAATTTGGTTGTTCTGGGAGATGGTGCTGAGCCAAGTATAAGAAAACCTGATGTTAGTATCTTAATCGATCATGATGTAATTTATTTTCCATCTACTCGTCCTCAGCATCCCAATTGGCCAACTAGACGGTTTCTGGGGCTTATACGCATGTTTTCAGTTAGCTCTTTTCTTAGCAACAGGGTGCATTTCCATATAGGAGAGGTTAGCATAGGAAGTGCTCTAAGAGGGATCTTACTTTTAATTTCTTTAAATTTTTCTACATAACATTTTTATAATTCCCACGAGCCAAATTAATAACGTGAACTGCATGGCTGCGCACACACCATCGTCTGCCACAGTCCTTTACCCTCTGGTCGTAAGAAACTTTCCATATCCTGCATTTCATTTAACATGAACTCCAGCATTTTCTGTCTACGCAACACCTTAAGCGTGGAACGTGCAATAAGCATCTCCTTTTGCATGGGCACAACGAAAGCGTAAATGCCATGACGTGGCGGCGGACCGCAACTCTTGCAGTGATCGAGTTTGTTAAGGAGACGGTCCCTGAAAGTGTGGAAATCAAGAGAATCTGCTAGAAATTATTTCAAATCTATCACTCACACTTCTAAAATGTCCATCCGCAGTGATTTTTGTCTAGAACGCCGTAATTTATTTCGAAATTTTAGTGAATGCCAATGAAAATCTTTTTCCGAAAGTTTTGTAAAAATTCTTTAATAAATTAAATCCAAAATTACTGACTTTATTTTGAGTGAAAGAATCTTATTTTATTTTTTTTTTGGCAGCAAACAAACAAATATCATATTGAGTCCGCATGGCGAGAAAAGAGAAGCTTGAATAACGTATTCAATGTTAAGCAGATTATTTCAATTTAGGGAGGTTTAGCTACACCAAACTATCACTTCAAAATCGCTTGCTTGTGGAAGCTTACTTCTTGAGATCGATTCCAATGAGACCTGTTTACACATTATGTACGCAATTCGCCCTGAACTGCAAAAAGAAGAAAGACTGGCTTTTTTTCACCGTCTCTCTCGCATTAGAAATTCAAATACAGCTATTTTTACTAATTACTTTATTTAAAAAATTGCATATATATGTTCTTAAAAATATACCAACAGCATAGAGTTATATATATGTACATTTGTATATAGAAATCTACAAGCATTCACACTGGTTTTAAACAAATCAATTAAATTAAGTAAAAGTGCTTTGAGAGTCCGTTGCTTAAGTCCCAGCAAAACCGTTAAAAAATATATGTAAGTATTAAGTTTATATAGATATATAATCTAAGGTCTAAGAGAGCGAGAGAGCGAGAGAGAAAGATATAGTTTTATCATCTATTTAATTATAAAAACACACTGGTCCCAATTCAATGCGGAACTGTTGATTAGCCTCGCCAACATCTCTGATTTTAATATCAACAATTGGCAGCCTCTGTGGCTTCTCAGTTTTGTAGGAGATGACCGTCTTGGCCCAAGAGTTTGAGCGATGCTGTAAAAAGAAGAAGAAGAAGAAGAAGAAGAAAAGAAACCATTGTATTAACACAAATCTCTCCATAGAGCACATGCCGCATTACTCACCCTGCACTCGTCAATTTCAGCCTCATAGCGCAGACGCAGCGGCCCCTTTGGTGTCAGCTCGGCATCATTCCATGAAAGTAATTTCAAGCCGTTGCTGATTAAAAACATAGAAAAACAGTTATGAAATGTCCTTTTAAATATTTTCATTACTTCATACCGATCTTTCTCTTCGTCCTCATCCAGAAAACCAATGGTGTTGCGGCAATTGAAGGTTATCTTTTGCGTTGCCTTGGCCGATAGTAACTGCAGAAAACCTAATTGGTGTGAGTCCGTTTTGTAGGTAATTTTCATGCCACCCGGCATCTCACTTAACCAGATCTCCTTCTCATTACCGTTGTAGCTTAACAATGGCGTTTCTTGTGGTCTCGGCAGTATGCAGGATCCGCGTGTTTCACGTTCGCAATAGACCAAGATAGCATCACGTGGATCTGCTTCATTGGGATCAATCCAGTACTCACCGGATTTGTATTCAGGATAGGCAGCAAATAGGTCCCGACATGTCTTGGCTGGTGCTGATTGTTGGCCGTTTGGTCGTCGTAGCCGTTCGAAAGATGCTTTTAAATGTTCGAATGCCTTAATTACCATTGCTTGCTTCTCTTCATCGGAAAGTCCTTCTGGCAGTAGTTCAGGTTGATCACTTTGGAAGTCTACCCCTTTCGTTTGTCCTTGATTGAGTAGTGCCGTAAGTGCTGCCACATCATAGCCAACTGATTCGCCTGGTGGTCCAGGTGGACCTACTGGACCCGCAGGTCCAATAGGACCTGGTTTTCCTTCACTTCCACTGTAACCTCGGGGTCCTGGTTGACCAGGTGGTCCAATGGGGCCAGGACTGCCATCACGTCCTTGTGGCCCGCGCATTCCCAATTCTCCCATTTTTCCCGGTTGACCTGGTACACCTGGCGGACCTGCTTCACCCTTGAGACCTGGTTGGCCTGGCAGTCCTTGCAAGCCGGTCAGACCACGATGGCCTTTGATACCTTTCGGACCGGGCTCTCCGCTTTCACCCTTTGGTCCTTCTACACCGGTGGGACCGGGCTTTCCGCGTAAACCTTGCGGTCCTTCCACACCAGGCAATCCTAGGTCTCCCTTTGGTCCACGATCTCCTTGCAAGCCTATTGGTCCCATAACGCCTGGTGGACCCGGCAAGCCTGGATTTCCTGGCGGTCCTGGATTACCCTGCTGTCCTTGTGGTCCTTTATCACCAGTACGACCGGCAATACCTGGTGGACCAGGTTTACCAGCTGGCCCCTCGGGTCCTGATTCGCCCATCGGTCCTGGTAAGCCCGGCGGTCCTATATATTATGTATTATACGAGTATATTCAAATGAAGTGAAAAGGTTATAAGAAAGCTCTTGATGTCTTCTATTTCATCAATATACCTTCTAAGCCTTGAGGGCCTGGTAAACCATCTTTTCCAGGTTGTCCTTGAGGACCTGCTTCACCTGCCACCCCTCTTAAGCCTCTCAAACCAGCTGGTCCTTGTGAGCCAGGAAGACCTGGCATTCCACGTTCGCCAACATTTCCCGGTGGCCCTGGATTTCCCGTTGGGCCTGGCGGACCATCATTTCCAGTTTCTCCCTTTTGTCCTTCCAAACCTGGTGCACCTTGTAAGCCCGGAGTACCTGGATTGCCTGGTCGCCCTGTTTCGCCAGGATTTCCTTTGGGCCCAGGAAATCCAGCTGTACCTGGCAATCCTTGACTTCCCGGTTGCCCCTGAAAGTAAAATTCAAATAACTGCTTTTACATCTTGAGCCATAGTTCTTACCGGCGGGCCTTGATCGCCGGGTCTGCCCGGCAAGCCATTTAAGCCAGGCTCTCCTCTGAAACCGGGCTCGCCCCGTGCACCTTTTAAACCACTCAACCCTACTGGTCCTATTGGACCTTGCTCTCCAGGTGGGCCATGAGGGCCTGCACTGCCTTGTTCACCTTTTATACCCATCAAACCACGGTCTCCCTTTGCACCTGGTAAACCTGCTAAACCGGGTGCTCCAGGAAATCCTGGAGGACCTTGCAAACCAGCTGGTCCTCTTTCACCAGGTCCACCGGCAGCACCTTGTTCTCCAGGAGGACCAGAGTTTCCTGGCTCACCTCGTTCTCCTGATTCGCCGGGAGCTCCAGGCGGTCCTACAATACCTTGCGGACCACGGTCTCCAGGACGACCAGGTGGTCCTTCCGGTCCAAACGGGCCCGGACTACCACGTTCTCCTTTTCCACCCGGCGGTCCACTTAGTCCCCTCGGACCAGGTAATCCCAACATTCCAGGCGGTCCCATATGTCCTTTAGATCCTGGTTTTCCAGGGGATCCCTGAAAAGTTTTAAAGAAATAGAATTCTTACGTAAAAATTCGCCCCAATTATTTTCATTCAAAGAAAATTACCGGTGGTCCATCATGACCTGGGGCGCCATGTTCGCCACGCTCTCCTGGAGATCCAGGTTGTCCCACAGGACCTCTTTCCCCAGGATAACCACGCTCGCCGCGCAATCCAGCAGGTCCCATTAAGCCCTGGGGTCCAGGTGGACCTGCGGATCCGTCTTTTCCTGGAGCACCTGGATTGCCAGCAACGCCTGGAAGGCCTTGGAAACCCCTTGGACCAGCTGTTCCAGGCTCACCTCTTTCACCATCTTGACCAGGAGGACCACGAGGTCCTTGCGCACCAGGTAAGCCATCTTTTCCACTATCGCCATGAGGTCCTTGAGGGCCAGGTGGACCAGGCTCGCCATTTTTACCCGGTTCTCCAATAAATCCTTTATCCCCGGGAATGCCCATTGGTCCAGGCAACCCTTGTAATCCTTGTGGCCCTTGTTCGCCATTTTTACCATCAGCACCAGGAATTCCTCTTTCTCCAACAGGTCCAGTTTTTCCAGGAGGCCCAATACGTCCAGGCAAACCACGTAACCCCTGAAGACCTGGTATACCAGGTGCTCCTATATCGCCAGTACTTCCTTTAATGCCAGGTGGGCCTTGAATACCGCGATCTCCTGGAGTACCCTTTGGTCCCACAGGGCCATCTGGTCCTGGTAGACCATTTAATCCTTGTGGTCCTCTTTCTCCTGTCGGACCAGATGGGCCTGTTGGTCCACGCATACCACGTTTTCCACGTTTTCCTTCTGGTCCTACTGTGCCCGGTAGCCCACGAGGGCCAGGTTGTCCAGATTCGCCTTTAATGCCCTGATCCCCTGAAAATTATTATAAAAATGTTTATACTTCAATTACTTTGAAGGAAATACAGCAATAGTTAACCTTTAAATCCTCTTTCTCCTGGCTGTCCCGGCGTTCCTTTAATACCGGGTTCGCCTGTACTGCCAGGTAATCCATCGGGTCCTCGTGGTCCGGGAAAACCTTGTGGCCCTGCTATACCAGGCGCGCCCATCGAACCTTTGTCACCGTGTTGTCCATCCTTACCAGGTGGTCCAGACATACCAGGCTCACCAGCGACACCAGGACGTCCAGCTTCTCCACGCGGTCCTTGCAAACCTTGATCACCCTTCGGACCAGGATGTCCCCAATCTCCTTTTGCACCAGGGCTGCCTGGGAAGCCGGGTGGACCGGGCTTACCAACTGAACCTGGTTGACCTGCAGTGCCCGGATTACCATCTAAACCTCTAGCACCTTGAGGACCAGGTGGCCCCTCACGACCGCGTTCGCCACGTGGACCAGCAGGACCCTAATTAAAATAAATTTATAGATATTCAATTTGAAAACAAATTGGAAAAATTTACCTGTGCTCCTGATGGGCCAACAGCGCCCATTGGACCTGTGCCACCTTTCTCTCCAGGAGCGCCTTGGTCACCCTTAGAACCATCAATACCAGGCAAGCCATGATGTCCTTTCAAACCCGGAATACCTGGCATGCCAGGTAAACCACGTGGACCTGGTGTACCAGCCGCACCTTGCAAACCGGGTTCGCCATCCTCGCCGGGTAAACCATCTTTACCCGGTGGTCCCGGTAAGCCTCTTGGCCCCATCAAACCGGGTGGACCTTGTAAGCCCGGTTCTCCAGGCTCACCGCGCATACCCTGAAAACCTTGAGGACCTGATGGACCCGAATTACCTGGAGGACCGCGGGGGCCAACCGGTCCCACAGACGACTGCAAATATTGAAACTCCGGCACGAATGGCGGTGAACTCGGACCTTTATCCGAATTCGCATATTCCGCAGCCAATTGTTGATGATAATAACTTAAATCAGGTATTGGACCAGGGGCACCAGGATTGCCAGGCACGCCGGGGTTACCCGGGGAGCCGGGGTAACCACTCTCACCAGGACGACCCTGAGCGCCGGGATATCCAGGTAAGCCGCGCGGGCCAGTCGAAACGCCAGCGTAAGGATTATCTTCAACAGACGGCGCGACATTACGCTCCGTTGTTGTTGTCGTCGTAGTCGTAGTTGTACTTGTAGTCGGTGCAGGTGTACAGTTAATGGGCTCACGACAAATCACTTTACCCCCAACGCAAGCACAAGGATGTGTGCAGCCATTTCGCTCACTGCTAAACTCTTCGCCATCCCGATAAAGATTGCCTTCGTACATACATGAGAAAGCGCCCACTACGTTGACAGGCGCTGGATTGTGTACTGTAAGAGTGGCGGAATGTAGGATATCGTTCAATAGTTTATCTAGCTAGCAGCTACTTACCTTCTTGGTGGGTGACAAAAACGTCGGCTCCGTTGGCGTTTCCATCGGCGTCTACTGGACAGAATAAAACGAAAAGTTTTAATTATTTATATTGTCTGTCATGTCTTATTATATAACACAATATATGAATGCGAAAACTGAAGTGGATACAATGACTCAGCAAACTGCATGACTGCATAGATAGCGACGAGAACCCTGGCGATCAACGCTTTAAAAGCGTGTTCTTTTGAGAATAAAGGGCAAAGAAACGCTATTTTGAAAGAATTAAGAAGTATCTTCCCAAATGGTGAATCTTCACCAAAACTGCAAGAAATTGACGAAATAACTTGCCTTCCGAGCAAATCTCAACATTATATCGAAACCGTCCTCTAAAATTAAAGATTTTCGGTCCATCTTTGCACGGAAAGTTTCATGATCTTATGATACGAAAATCACTTTTTCCGAATAAACTCATTTTCACCTCGACTCCTAAGTTGACAAAGCAAACTCTCATGCTGCTCTCATATTTACTCAATGAGTAACTCTAGCGCGACTTCTGAATTAGTTGCATCATTGGTATTTTCTTCTTAAAAAGCCAGTACCGTGTTTTGCTCTCAAATATGAAAGACACAATGGCACAATGACATGGGCCTTCAACAGCATAGGGCTACGGGCCACACAGTCAACGTTATAATTGATCTTTACGGTCTTTAGTCATCCCAATAAGTAGAACCTTAACGGAATAAAATGGTTTTATGAGCCTAGATTTGACTCTATCCGGCTGAGTTTAAACCTTTTTGGCATATATTGGGCAGTATCTCGGCCATAACGAATGTTGATTTTCAAGTGCTCCAGAGTTAAAGGTTTATCCAAATAAACACGGTATTTCGCGTAACCTAACAGAAAAAGTCTAACGATTTCAAATCGCACGATCCCGGTGTCCAATTGAAATCGCCAAGACGAGATATTGGGTTGAGTTGAGTTGATGCGGCTGCTGGTCAACCCCAGCACACTTAGGTCTATAGGTTCATGTTGATACCGCTAAGGCTCCTGCCTTCACCTTCTCAAATGATCGAACCATTTCGTGTGCCTTATAACGACGATTCCAAAGTCGAAGGAGTGTTTCCCAAGGAACTTGTGTCGCGCGGATGTCAAGGCTGGACAGTAGCGATACAATGATTTGAGGTGCAACGAACAAAGCGACGATGCACCGGCCATACAATATATGTAGCCGATGCAGTTTCTTCAAATTTCTTTAACATTTTGCTAGTTGTTTTAGGATTTGAAAATATTTTAATATAAGTTGCGAGCTATCTCCAAACGATTTTGCTCTGAGATATTATCGTATACATGCTTTGAAGAATATTATTTTTTTTTTTTAAATACTTGTAGTCACACACCCGCTTGCTGAAATGCACAACATACTTCACATGCACATAAACTATGCGCTGAAAACACTTCTCTGTGCATTCGTTGTTCTCTTAACAGCAGCACATGAAAGACCTTAATCGATTTCGCACTCACTTCAATGGACTCATTCACTCATATTCATTTATGATTTGCAGATGTGCGTCTATTTACTAGTGGAATTTGACATAAATTTTATATGCTTTCTTTTTTTTTGTTTCATCGCGAAATTGTCTCAAATGAATTAATTTTAATTTTTTTTTTAAGTTCTTCTTATTCTTTCTCGTCTTCTCCTGCCTTAAAATGCAACAAACATGAAAAAGTTTGTTACGCTCCAATTAGTGCCAAACGAGGTTGTCAGGCGAGCAATTGAAATTGAAATTGGAAATGTCATTAGAGGCAAGTGTTTGTAGAAGAGATATGTATATGCACATGGGTTTGTTTATATGCTTACATATATACATACATACATACCATACATATGTGCTCAATATGTACAATATGTATATATGTATATGTAAATGCAAGTAAAATGAAAAGATGAATTAATAAAGTTCGACAGACGTCAATGAAAAAGATGTCAACAACAAATGAAATGCCTTCGAAACAGTGTTTTTCTTCAAATCATAAGGAGAGCAATTAAACTGACAAGACAAGACTGCCACCTCTTTGAAAGGTTTCCAAAAAAAAATTATGGTTCGAAGATAAAATGCCACAATACGGGTTGTCAAATTTCGTTATTTCTAGGGATTCTCCTGCCAATATTGTTTTTGGCTAGGGTTGCCAGGTGAATATAAATTTCGAAACCATGTAGCAGCTTGCAGCAGAAAACAATTTTAAAAAGAGTGCACAACTGATTAATGAAGAGCGAGAATTTATTGTTATAAGGTTGCCACTTGTTTGAAAAAAATATTAGTTAATACAAGCAGGTATCAATATATGTATTTCGAACTTAAATATTCCTAAAAGGCATAGAGCTGCTAATATTTTTGCCTAGCGTTACCAACATTTTGGAAATTTTAAGCCCATACGAATATCAAACTGAGGTAGTTTAAGAAAAGTTAAGTCTTACAGGAAAAGTGGCCACCAATTTGAAATGAAAAGAGCAATTATAGATTGGGGATGCCACCTATTTGAGAGCTGAAACCAAAAAAAAAGATAAGACAACGTTTCAAGAATGTACACAGCTGATAATATTTTCACATAGGGCTGCCACATGTTTAACATTTTCAAAAGCAAAAGGTTAACAAACTGAGCCGGCTTAAGAAAGCTTAAGGCCTGGAAATTTTTAGAAGAATGATTGAAATAAATAAAGGCAATTCTAGTTATAAGGAAGCCACATATTAAAAGGTGGATATAAAAAAGAAGCACAACAATATTAGTGTCAAGCCAATGCATTTTACGAAGACTAACAGCTCAAAAATGTTTAAGAAAAGTTGCCACCTATTTAAAATAAGTAAATCAATTATAATTATAAGGTTTCCGATTGCAAGAACGATATAAGCAAAAATAGAACAATCTACATAGACATCAATATAATCATCACACAGAAATATTGGATGAGTTCATAAGTTCGTGCCCGATTTCAAGTGCAAACTAAAATTGAGATNTGTACATATTTCTTTCACGAGCGCCACTCTCAAACGATTCGAACGGCGTCCAGCGGAATCGGGCACGAACTTATGCACTCATCCAATATATCATGAAAGCTTACAGCAGATATTTATATTCCTTATAGAGTTGTCACTTAGTTAGAAATTTTTCGCATGCCGAAGGGTTTTGGAGACAAGAGGTCTATGATTTTCAAATAAAAAGAAATTATTTAAATTTTATTTATATTTTTTTTTACTTATTAACATAAACGAATTGATATTTTCGGTTATTTATTTCATGTCAATTTTTGGTTTTTATAGCTCGCCTTCCTTCGACTACTCACCATCATCGTAATTATTATAATCATACGTTTCAAATTCATCATCGACTGGCAAATCGGCACCCGGTTGTGGTTCCTCCGCCTGTGGCCGCTCAATAAATGCTTGTTTACGTTGCTTTTTTAATTTTTTTGTGCGCGATTTCCGCTTGCCCACGTGAGCACCTGCAGAATTCTCGGCCCAGGCGCACTCCAACATAACGCACAGGACGAAGGTGAGGCAAAGGAGACGCGCAGATTTGAATTTCATGTTTTCTTTTTGTTTTTCTGTTTTTTTTTTTGTTTGTTTTGTTTTTAACGGTTATAATCGTTGATATTCTTTTATTTATTTTGAATCGCGAAAAATTCAAAATACTGCAGCTTTTTAGTATTCATAAAGTCATTTGCTGCATCATAAACTGTGCGGGTACAGAGTGGGGGAGATTGAGTAAAAAAAAACAAAAACATTAACAAAAGGTATGAATGAATAAAGCAAAGGCGTACAAAAACACTAGGTGGATACTCAGATGGGTTATCTCCTTTTGTTTTTTGTTGTATTTTTTTTTTTTTTTTTTTTTTTTTTTTTTTTTTTTTTTGTTAACTACTGTCGAATTGAATGCCAGGATTTCGCTAAGCAAGCGCGCAACAAATAAAGTGTAAAAAAAAACACTTAAAAATTCGCTTTATAAACTAGGAAATAAAACCGTTAAAACCGAAAAAGTGAAATTTAAACCGAAATCCGTTATATGCTTCAACAGGCGCTTGCAATGCTTCGATTTTTGTTTTACAGCAATTTTTGTTGTCGTTGTTGTAGCAATAGTAGAATTGGGTCAACAGGCAGTTGTGCGGCAACACGTTCTCAAAGTGGACTCATTGCAATGACCACTTTTTCGGTTTGTTTTTGTATGTCTCAGTCGCCATTTGCTTGAACAAGTTGTACTTTCGAGTATCTCCACTTGCGTACGTGCATATGCTTGTGTGTGTGAGTTTGTATGTTTTTCTTTAAGCGCTAAAAAAAAAGAGCACATGCACATGCATGCGACACGTCCTCATCGCAACAAAGTTTTGTTGAGATTTTTTTCGGTTTTCTCAATATTTTTTATTTCTTTTTCGTATATTCGTTCGTTTGCCCAATCTACAGTAATCTCAGTTTGTTTGGACGAGGTCATCAACTTGGATTGATAAAAAGTGTACACACACACAGACACACACGCACACACACACACATGCGACTATACGAAATCAGCCGTTAGCGCTAGTGGAGTTCAGTTCTGCTTCTTCTACTTTCCATATTCCAAAGAACATAATTCCGCTATTTTTACTTTTGCTTTTGTTACATAAATTTTTTTTTTCTTATAAATTAATGTAGATATTTTTGTTTTTATTTTATTTTTATTTATATTTGTTCAATGTTACGTTACCACAGATGTCTGTGTGCTTGTGTATGTGTGATTATTAGTTTTTTTTTGGCTTGCATACAAGAAGACTCTAATTTGGTTAGCGCATATTCTAGTGGCGGTTGTTATCAACTTGTCAGCGAACTAAATTTTAGTACACTTTTTTTGGCTTTTTTAGTCTTATGTTTATATGTATGTGCGTATGTATGTTTATGCGACACTTTTGATGACCGATTTTTTTTTAGTTCATTCGCGATTAAAAAAAAATATTTGTTATTGTTTTTGCAGGTGATGAGTACATAGACATTATATAAAAATAATAAAAAAGCACCAGATTGTTTTTTCATAGCTTCATGATTTCAAAATGTTTCCTGTCTGCGCAGAGAAAGTGATGTTGCATAAAAAGTAATCGGTTTTTTTTTTTTTCAATTTGATTCTGTAGTAAATTGATGCTTTAAAATCTGGTATTAAATTTAGTGAAATAACAAAATATTGAAATTGAAAATTAAATTTTTTATGAAATTAGAAAATATTAAGAACAATTTTATAAATCACAAAACTAATTAACAATTAACAATAAACAATAGCTAAGGTAAATACTTCACACAACTCTCTAGATTCAGCCGGCTTGACTTAACTGAATCTTGATATGCAAGATTTTTGATATTTAACTTTTTGTTCAATACTAAAATTTAATAATTTCTCAATCAACAGTTTACCTTATAGGCAGTACTTAAATGTAATTCTTAATAAAATAAGTATACAAATAAGTATTACTTATATTTTATTCCCATTAATGTCGTAAGATTTTTAGCAAATTTTACAAAATAATACCATCGAAACAAACCGATTACTTTTTTATAAAACCGGTTACTTGAACTTAAAATGCTTTAAAATAAAACAGGAACTTCCTTTCCTATAAAAACCCGGTTACTTTTAATACATAACAAAAACTGGCTTACCAGTAACCGGTTAGTTCAACTTAACATGTACCGGTATATGAAATTCTAACGGTTACTCATGTACATTATCTTTTAATGCTTTCTTAAGTCTCACTGTAAGTAAATGGAGTATTTATTTGTCTACTTTTCATATTAGTTAGATTTCATATGGAAACTCAAAGTTTTTTAAATTAGGTAATTTACTATTTTCCACTCTTTGCAACACACAATAGACAAACCCGAATACTTTTTTCCCGCGCTTATCTCATGGTGCCTTTGGATAAAAAGATTTCATTAACGCATAATTTATAAGCATCATTTCTGTATTTGGAAGCTTTTTAATCTTATTGTAACCGGTTACTCGTCCAAAAAAATGCATATATTTAAATTAAAACTTATTTACATATATTTCTTTTACGCTCAAGATTACTATATTCATCGCAGAGTAGTTCGAAATCACAATTTTCTTAAACGGTTATCCGGTTCATACCACACTGCAGTACTGTCCACCTTTCGCCACACTTCACACTACATATTTTTTCCAACAATTTCCCACGAAAATCATTTTATTTTAATTAAAATGTCACATAGAAACAGTCAATGCGTTTGTCTATAAATATTTTTAATCAGAAACTAATATCCGGTTGGTGTCATATTAATGCTTATATAATCTCTCACAACTCACAAATTCAAATACACACACACACATACGCACAATATTTTTCGAAGCAGTTAGTTAGTTAATAGCCGCATTTCCGGTTTTGCACTTTTTGTATTTATGATTTATTTATTTTTTATTGATTTATCAATTTAATACAATTTTTTTCAATTTCACACAATGCACTTTTATTCTTCTTTATACTGTGCTTTAATATCCTTTAGCTGGAAAAGCCTTGCACAATTCATACTCTACTCTATATCAGTCTACTGCATGACCCACTGACCCCTTTACTGGGTCTATATGTAGATACTTGGCCTTCACTTCCGTGCTGCACTCAAATCATACTGATTTCTACTTCTTTCTTCACCACAAAAAAAAAACACTTCTTACCCGAGACCGAGACCAAACGCGATTCAAACTTAAATCAAACGAACTGAAGCGCTTTCAAGACGCGCTTGGCTTTTTATAGTTTTTTGCAGATTAAAAAATTAAAAAAAGCAAATGAAAAGAGTATCAAAATCAAACTCAAGAACTCTTCAAAACACAGTTCCAGCAGAGAGTTATCACCAGCAGCAGCCCACCGCAGCCGTCATTATCACCAACTATTTCAATCTTAAAATGCGTATAAGAGTTGTGCGTTAGCACGATCTTCAAGGAGAGCTGCAGAGCTAAAGAGCTACAGATATTCTATTTGGAGCATTCGATTTTATGCTTTTAGAGCGTAAAATATAATTTTCATTCATTCATTGGTGGGCTCAGGAGCTGGTGATCTTTCTATGCTCACTTTGGTCGTATAAGTGACGGTGTTTGCATTTTTTTCTTCTGGCATCTACATACTTACTTGTACATACATGTATAATTTGTGGCATCAGCCGTGCTGATAAGCAGCATCTTTGTTAGCCGGCCGGCTGCGAGGTTGGCTGAAGTGTGACTCTTCAGCTGTTTCCATTCATTGTTTAGGTCTAATGATATTTTTAGAATTACAACATCTTGAAATTATAATATAACATTTAATGGCAATTTTATTATCATTATGATGTTGTTGTTTCTTTTTAAGTATAACTTACAAATGGGGTTAGTGGTTTGCTGATAATTATTTCATAAAAGTGAAAAATAGACGTAAAAAGAAAAAAAGTGAAAAAAATTAAATATACGAGTATTAAGAGTATTTTTGGTTTTTTAATTTGGCTTCACAGAAAATTAGTTTTAATCATGTACATATTGACCCTTTTTATCAATGAAGTGTCTTGTGTCAATTTTTGGTTAGCTTCAGCAGCATCACCGCAAGGTTTCAATGCTTCTATGGTGAAATGATTCTCAGTGGCGCTGTGGTTAATTTTTTGCCTTCATTAGAGCTTTGCCGAGATCGAAACACCTGGAAGTCAGATGGTGCGCCAAGCTTCATAGATGTAAAGTTCCATTCCCACAGTGACCTGTTACTATCAGGAAGAAGACCCTTACTCGCAAATTCATGCTAATATTTATTGAAAGCACCGGAAAGTGGATTTTCATCTAGTTTTCAGCCGTCTGTAAAAATGGTTATGGTTGCCTGATCAAGGGCATTTGATTTTCCCTATGCATTACTGTTTAGTGTTCTAGCCGAAAAGGGATTATCGAATCACTGTACTTCTGCCTTATACTACAATTTCCTCCAAGGTTGAGTCGCATTTAATCTGATTGCGTTCCAAAGAAAGAAAGTTTTAATACAGTTACCAGTGGTATTGAGGAAGTCATTTATTTAGCAACCATTAAAGTTTCTCAACAAAAAATTAGCCAGCTATAAATTACGAAAATTTTTTATCGTCATTAGGCTGGTTTGACTTTCCAACAACAAGACTTCCCTTAAGCTATAATTGTTTAATATCGTTTGCTGCTTTTATGGTACATTTTTTATCGTAAAAGATTTAATGTCTTGTAATAGTAGCTCGTATCGTAAAAATCTTTTATATTGCAACAAAATTTTTTATGGCAAAAATCACTTTTATAGTAAAAATTTATTTTATCGTGAAAAGGTTCAATCATAAAAATATGTTCACCGAAAAAAATATTTGTATACAACAAAAATTGCTTTCACATAGAAATCTCTTGTATCGTCAGTTAATATTGTACCTTATAAAATGCCTTATATCGTAATTTTCTCTTTTATCGTAGAAATATTTTGTATCGTGTTTTTCGAAATTTCCAACTCAAATACATTCCAATCGCACATGGTTAACAACAATTCGACGTAGTCAGTTTCGTGTGTGGTTTTCGAACGAAAAGAGGGTGGCTTACCTATGTATGTGTGGGCTCTATACAGTTAACAACCTGAATTCGAATTTTCCACAATTCAGTTATATCGTGCTGCTCAAACGATTTGGTAGACGCGAGCAAATAAAATTAGAATATTTTTTGTTGATTTTATTAAGCAAGTGGCAAATACGAGTATATTTGACGTATTTGTGAACTTGTGTGTTAAGATATAAAAGTAAAATATGATAGTAAGAAAAATGTAAGAATATACAATTGAAAAATAGAAAAATTTAATTCAAGAAAAAACAGAAAAAAATTAAATTTCAAAGAATTTATTAGAAAGCAACCTTCAGTTCCCTTATCTTTCTGCGCCAAAGATTATGATTTGAAGTTATTGGAAATATTTTGTGTTTATGAGCGTTTAGAATAAGTTTTTTCTGACATAGTTTAGAGAGTTTTGTGAGATATTGAGTAACGCACTCTCAGAGCAGTAATAATTTTCAATATTATAAATGTATATTTTTTTATTTTTTTTTTTTCAAGCATATTTGACGAATGGCCTAGTCCTATACCTGATTTTCCATATTTTGAGTAAACCCACTTTTATTATAATTCAAAACAAGCATTTAACTGTTGAAGGATTTATACCTCATAAAATAGTGTCTTTAAGGTTATTTTTACTTAAACTTAAATTTGTTATTCATCTGAATAATTATTATTAACTAATTTTAAAGTTTTTTTGTTTTCTTTTACATTGTGAGATAAAAAATATAAATTAAAATAAATCTGCATGGCTTGCAGCTTTAAATCTTTAACTTTAAATTTCAATATAATGTAGCCTAAGGGCCTGTAGAAATCACGCATACATATATATATATTATATGAACATAGGTATATAGCTAATACAAAATAAATAAATCGACGAAGCAGAAAATTTTTATCTTTACCATGACTGCACTTCCGTTATACGTCAACACACTTGTCAAGATTAGCACTAAAATAAATCCTACTCCTCTCACATACTTATATATATAAATACATATGGTATGTATTAACATTAATTCAATGCACATGAAAAGCATCATACAAGCGTGCCCGAAAAATTATAAGTGGAGGGTGGCATTTCGGCGAACAGTTACAATTAGCATATTTTCTGAAAATACTCCGCCAGCATTTAAAATATAAAAAAATATGTAAAAATAAATATGAAAAAAAAAAAACAATTAAAAAAGAATTTCTATTCAAATGTAAGCAGCAGAGAAGATTGCAAAAAAAAAACTTTTAAAAACTCATTCATGAGCAAAAACAAAAAGCAAAAAAAAAAAGTGAAATCAAAATGAAAATGAAAAATCCCAGCGAACAATGACGCTGCACATGATTTAAGTCAAACTTGCAACAGCAATGACGCCAACAACCCGCATATAAAGCGCTGAAAAGTAGGCAAATGGAGCATAGGGTTACACGCGCAGAGACATACATATGCATATTAAAGCACATACATATATACATAAACACAAGTAGTTGCATTTATGCGAAAAAGGATGAGCTAAAAACAGTCATTTGCCAAAAAAAAATTAGATATTTTCATACACACGTGTGTATATACACATATGTAAATATATTTATAACTGTCTCCTGTCTCTGTGCCCGCATACAAGAACAGTATGCTTAGCAGAGTATGACAGATAATTTTGTATTGCCTACTTTTGGGGTCATCACAAACTTTTACTTTCGCTTGTGTACCTTTACAGACACTTTCATATGTGTGTATGATTGTTTACTTGTAGAAAATCATAAGTTAAATAGCATTGCCAAGTAGGCAAGTAAAATCATATAAAAATATATATTTTTTGTCCCAAATCGATTTCCTTTACGGGTAGTGCTTATATTATTTTTTCTTTTCTATAAATACATACAAGCAACGAGGTTAAGCAGCATTTGTGTGCTTACATATATGTATATACACATGTATAGAATTTTATTATTACCGTTATACCTTTATAAGTGTATAATTATTTCTTTTTGTGTTGAGCACGAAAATTTATTCATTTAAAATATTTATTTTTTTTAATAAAGAAAACGTATTTTCTCTGTTTAATTCTTTCGTTTCTGTTTTGTTTTATTTATTTTTTTATTTTTCAATTTCAATTTCTTTTTTTTTTCTTATTATATATTTATTTTTCGTGCCTTAAATTTTTACTACATTTTCATACGCTCTTTCACTTTACACTTTCCATGCATGATTTCTTCAACTTCCTTTGCAGTAAATATCATAAAATATTTCAACTTATTCCCTTTCTTATGATGTTTTAAGCCTTTTCATTGCCAATTCGTTAATCTACCAATAATATGTTTATCATTGCCGGCGCAACAAACAAATCAATCATTTTCGATTATTCGCATGCCTGCTGATTTGTATAACTTTATTATATAATCATTGCTACAAAATGATTTCTCTTACCGTTTTTGTGTTCATTTTCTTGCGTTGGAGTGATTTGTGATGAGCTAGTAAAGTGTGCGAGTCACTCCTTCCACACAGGGTTAAGCAGGGAAGTAAAGCAGAAAAAAAACGTATTAACTTTTTTCGTTAAATTTCAACTATCATACAGTATCCAACTATCATAAAGTACTCTATACTGTGTACTCTTTTTATGCTCGAACAAGGTTGAACCAATTTTTTTTATCAATCAGCGCGCAATTTTGGTTTTCAATTCACCAGTCTTATGTGGGGTTTGCCTTTCCTGGGAACGTGGTTTTAGGCAAGAAAACCTTAAGAGAAAACTTAATTTAGAATCATTGGGTTGTTTTCAGCGACCTAGGCAACTGTAAGAGAGATATTTGTAATAAAAAATGTTTACTCTAGTCCGATAAAATACCCTAGAATACAAACAAGCTTATTTAAATGGTGATACAGACAAAATTCAGAGCTTACTTTAAGACTTTGGCCAAGCTTGGACCTCTTACTTTTCAACTGCACTTTTTCTCGCGCTAAACAATAAAGGTTAATTATAGAAAATTAATTTAAGTAAGAAATAAAGTTAAGTTTTCTATTTCTATTTCTTCTAAAATTTATAATTTTCTTATTTATCTTACTTTCCTTACCTTTCCTTTCCTTACCTTTGCCCATTCAACTGCATAAAATATAATTAATTCGGAGCCAAAATAATACATGTAGGTACTA